AAATTTCATGTCATTAGCACCTCTAGTAATATATTTACTGAGAAAAATGGTGACGTGTTCAATACTTATTTTACCTGCTGTATTTGGCAGAGTAAGAAGTACCAGGGTTAAGAGGTGCCAGCCTCCTCTCGCTGGGCTTCTTCAGAAGACCCTCCATGTTGATGCTCCCTCTGGCTGCTCAAAAGTCACTGATTGAGAGGCTCTTTTCTGACGTTCAAACACACTTTCATCTATCAAATATCAAAGAGGTTTGGAAGTCAACTCTGTTAACCTGCTGCTGTCACTCAAGCTGCTGCTGGAAGCAGCTGGTGTCAGAATAGCTGTGTTTCCATWGCAAATGTGCACAAAACTTTGTCAATATTCTGTTAATGTCGATAAAACACAGTTTCGCTCATCATCAGCCATCAGAGGAGATGTCGGCGTTTTATCGAGGCTTTCAAGCGACAAGCCCCTTTTAGCCTACTTGGGAGCAGCATATGTGATGTTTTTGGGAAATTTTGGTAGTCGAGGAGTTTACTACTTTGTTTTACAACTTTGGTGATTTTACTACTACTTCTACTTCCTGTTGTTTTCTTCGTTGTCTTTTTCACCAGTAGAAAGTCAGTTCTTGATCACGTGACTCCCGTGATGTGAAAAGTTTTTCATTGCAGTTTTGTGAAACACACCAATTTCGATACGACCAAAAAAACCACCTGATCCAAGCGCAAAAACGTTTTGTTGAAAAATTGATGTGTTTCCTTTGAGCAGATTTAGTTTCTAAAATCTAATTTGTACATTTTCCTTGTCAATGGAAACACACCTGTTGGCTCCTCCTCCTGTTYTACCTGTGCTGCTTTGCTCTGTCCTACATTCTGTCTCCTTATTTTCCCGTCTGCTGTCTTCAGTGTCTCGTTCCTTTTTAGCCTCTTTCTGTGGAGAACGTCCTGCTCTTCACCAGGTTTCCTTCCTGTCCTTCCTGTCAGCGTCTCTGACCAATCAAGGTCCATAAAAATGTTAATAAATGGAAAAGTTTTAAGATATAAAAATACCCACARTTTATTTAAATCACACAAATGACACATTTAAAACCAGTAAAGTGTTTTTCTTCTTTATTTGTTCTTTTTTTATTTTATTTTTATTTTAGAAAATATTGTGATATTTTTTTTTATTAAAAACGCTTCAGAAAAGGTTTATACAGGGGTCCAGCCAGAAATATGTCTATAATCATTTAAGGCAAAACTCCAAATAAATAGGACAAACAAAGGACTTTAAAAATCCTCGTTATTTCATCTGCTTTGGGACCAAATGACAAGAATAAAACTTTTTTTCTTTTTCATAGAATTTATAAATGTAGCTTAAAAGTTTCTGATTGTAATTCCATTTYGTATCAAGATGCAAAATGGAAAGAGTTAATAATTACTCTTGTTGTAGTTTTAGTCATTATTATCAATATGTACACTCATTCAACTGCTTTTGTAAACCAAAAAGTCACAAATCTGGGACAATACTTTACATATTGCTAGCATATGACAGTTGGAAATATCTAACATGTACAGCTTTACAAAGAACTAATATATTAATACAAAAACATCACTGCCTTGTTTTTGTTTTCTARAGAAAACTGCTGGTCACGTTATGAGCTCGAGCAGAGCTGAGATCAAGAGACAGAAAAGAAGCTCACAAAGAAAACTGATGGAACAGATTSAGATTCTGGATCTGGTCAACGGGACAACAAACCCAATCAACAAAAGGATAACAGGTCGGGTCAGATGGAGAAAAGACCTGTTCAGAAGGATAACACGGTGTCAAACCGTACAACAGACTGACGGGTTGGGTCAGCAGTAACTGACTGGACTCTGTCACATGATGTGTTCAACAGGATCAAACTGAGTCCAGGTGGGTCAGGATAAAACATCYGGTCAATGACCTGTCACGTTCAGTCAGCGGGACTCTGGATTACCTGTGTCACACTGAGGCAGAACTTAGTCAACAAGACACTGCTGGGTTTGGTGAACAGAACATAAGATCCAGTCAAATGGGTGAGAGATCTGTTCAAAAGGATGTCAGGATGTTGGAAACGTTAGAGGCTAACAGATCTGTCAAAGTTAGAGGTGCACCGRTAAACCAGTCAGCTGGTTTACTGGTGCAGGTTTGCTTCATTTTGGGAGATCAGCTGATACTTAAAGAAGCGTAGAGCKGTCACATGACGTGAAATTACTTTTAAACTGGATCTTGTTATAACGAGAAAACTATCTCGTAAAAATGAGAAAATATGTCGAAATAATGACTAAAATATGTTGTTATGATGAGAAATTTATC